TAACGTCCCTTGGAATCCTCTCCCAGCTTCATGCCTTAATCCTTACCTACCTACAAAACATGACCTTCATTCTTTGACATAACAAGTTCATAAAACATATCATACACTTTGGATTTTTCTTATTAACATAAGTCATAACATAATCATACATACTGTAACATAGAACATATATGACTTATGAAATATTCATGTACATGGCGTGCTTATTTCTTTTGTCTTTATACTTGATGGTTTCATTAGTCTTTGTTATCCAATCGGATTCATTTGAACTATTATCTTGTTCTTGGTCGTCACCTCAAAGGACTCATGGTTTCCATAAGAATTCCATTCCTCTGATCTTGGTTTATACCTCAAGAGACTCATGGAATTCATTCTTTAACATTTCATAATTTTTTTCATAAGACAACTAAATAAGCTATATGCATTACCATTATGAATGCAAACATATGGACTAATATCTCCCATGCTCAATCATACTATATTATCCTACTAAACTTCTTAACTTAATTCATTCAATTTCTCATACAATACAAAGAATTTCAGTAGTAAGATTATTCAGGGGTTTATTAGAATTAGAAACAAATGGGAATTTCCATTAAGAAGGTGGATGCCATACAGTTCGTTACTTTCAAGCAATTTTCCATTATCTTCTAATTCGAATTTATTTTTGGCTAAAACATAAAAGTTTTAGGTCTGTTTCTCAACTTTTTAACACTTCAAGAATCAACTCAATCGGACTTCTATAACTTCAGTTATGACTGATTCAGTGAAGCATGTACAGTATAAGTCTCAAAAAGCCAAATCCGAATTCTATTCATTTTAACCATGTCACCTTCATTTGCACATTCATATCATTTGCCATATCATTCTAAGTATAAAAGGCCATAAAAACCTCCCTTTTTACAGAACCAAAAAGTGCCAAAACATCGTCCAACTACAAATCTCTTAATTGGCATAATCATCCTCCATATGCACACATACACCAATCAACACACCCATTTAAACAATCCATAACCAAAACATAGCCTCACACTCATATTAACATAAATAAATGTAAGTTTCATAAACCCTAGGTGTTATCAATTGTAGCCATAAGGGAGATTTTTTCCTTACCTTAGTATTCAAAGCACAAAGACACTCCTCCTTAGCTCCAAAGGTTCACCCTTTCTACCTTACACACATAACCACTTATGAATTTCTCTTTTAACTTAAAGATCAGAAAAACTAGGGTTTTGAAACTCACCTTAAATCCTGAAATTGAAGTTCTTTAAGTGTGGATGGTGATCTCCTTTGAAAATCAACTTGAAATCCTAAGAAAATTTGAGAATAAAATGCTTGGATTAGTGGCTTTTATGGTGGATTTGAGAGATGAAGAAGAAGATGATGCATTTGGGGTGTACAAGGCCGACTCCTCTCTCTTAAAACCTTGTAGATATTTATTCCATTGTTACTCTATTATGATTGGTCAATACAAGTTAGATATAAGGGTCATTTGGCATAAATTTTTCATATAAGTGCGTTTTGGTCATTTCCACCATAACATAATGATTAGCACTCATTTAATGCCATTTGACTTCTTTAAAACACTTAAATATTAAGCAATCTCACTAGGTAAATGACTAATTTACCCTTGGTACACTTTTATGGATACTTATTTCATTTGATTTGTATGAAAAGACCATTATACCCTTGGTTACCGTTTACGCCATTTAACCATATCAATCAACTTTATGATCATTCTACCCTCATTTCTCTTCAATGACATCACCCCTTACACTTTATAATAGCCACATCTCGAAATACATGTAAATTGACCATTTTACCCTTCCATTCAAAAAAAGAAAATTACTTGAAAAGGTAAATTTCATATCTTAGGGCATCAGAATAATAACGCGAGGTTAACAGGCTGTCTGCAGATTACCATTATACGTTGAATTGAACCTGTGGTAACATTAGATTGCCGAATGCCCAACTTTATTACAGACCTGGCAAATTAGCCTATTTCGTCCATTGTTTCGTCCTCTTCCTCTTCCATAAGACACTTGACTAGGATATTTCGGACCAAACTTAGTAGCTCCATAGTGAACAATGGTTGGGTGGCTGGAACAAAAGACTGAGCAGTTGGGACAGTATAGTTTTGAGGACAGTAGGGATTACTTAGCGAGTTTAGTGAAGGTCCAATTCCAAGGAAATTATCAGGTACTGACTTAGGATTGTTTTGATTGACCTGAGCAACTGGATTGGTAACGCCAAGACCACCAGAATTACTGGTCAGAGCTACATTTGCAGAGCTGTTGTATAGATATATTGAGTTAAACTTTTCCAAGCGCATTTCATATTTTTAAATCAAGAATTGAGCTTCTTGTAAGGTAATAGAGTCAACTTTAGACTCAAGTCTGGAAGTGAGATTGACAACAACAGCGTCGTACTCAAGCCCCAAACCATCTAAGAAAAATTTATCAAGTCTTCATCTGATATAACTAAACCACTAGCGGCCAAGCTTTCCGCAATCCCCTTCATTTTCTTCACATAATCTCCTATAGTAAGGCTCCCTTTTTGTGTTGTTTGAAGTAATTTTTTGAGATGTAAGGCTCTTGCCTTCGAATCAGTAATGAATTCACTCTCTAAGGCTAACCAGATTTTGATGGAAAATCAACATTTAGACACATAACTAAACATATCTTCTGAAATGGAAGCTAACAACCAACTCACTAAGCATTTGTCAGTTTTCTTCCACTGAACATATGTTGGATTAATTCTTTCATTAATTGACTCATTACATGCCCTAGATTCAGTACCAATCGAAGTTTGATCATTATCAACAGCAGAACCACAGGGTATAATGGCAAAGGACAGGGGAACCTACCTAGCACATGATCCTCCAATTCATACGATCCAATTGTGAAAAGGGAGCTCCAAAACCTGTAGTTATTCCATGTTAACTTTGGACTTATGACCTGTAGACTTGAAGCAACAACTGAGATGGTACGATTTGTAGAGTCACACATCATTTCTTCTGCGCTATTAGGCAATGGAAATGATGAAGAATCTTTAGCCATGGACGTGAGTTAGGGCTCTGATACCATGTGAGAAAAGTCTAGAAAGAGCAAAGCTAGAGCGAAAAATGAAAGAGAGAAACTGTTTTTGTTCTATTAATCTTTGTTAACAAACTTTACAGCAATCTAAGTTTATATACTAGCTCAAAGACACGAGCTGAACTCAGTAAACTGATATAACAAATTTAACTCAGTTTTAGTTTTAGAACTACGTTGCTTGTACAACAGCAGTCTACTCCTCCTAACTTTCATTTCTGACATTTTAACCCATTGATCTTTGACAGTCACAATATGAATTTATTAAATTAGTCTCTAATGATGATTTAATATATAAAGTCTTGCATGAATTTTCTTCACTTTTCAATGATCTTATATTATGTATGATGCCGATCATTTTTATTTTATTTTATTAATTACTAATTATATTCTTATATATATTTGCTCTAATAAAAGTTGAAGGAAGCATCGTAATACTATTAATTTATACTTAATTGACTCTCAGGAAGTCAGAGAATGAAAGCTAAATAATTATATAATTAACAATTTTGAAGCTCTCTCGTGGATTCGTTTGACTCTTGTTACATAATTAAATATTGCCCACTAGACCACTAGACCACTCCCTTTCATCATGGTTATCTGTTTTTTCGATAGCCAAAGAATTTTATTTTTTAATTATTAAAATTCTTTAATTAAAATTACTCTAAAAAATCAAAACAGTTAAGCAAATTAAAATAATAAATTTACTCTCTATACACACTGAATTATATATATGTCAATACATATTTTAAGTTGCTACTTTCATAAATTACTTATGCAGAATTTGTAATAAGACGAGCAGTTAAGTTAAGTATTTTGAGATTTGTGACAAATTAGATCAGTTAAGATATATATGCCCAATATTAATATTTAAGTCTAATAATCCATCTCATTGAAATAAATTAGATCCAATTCAACATGTTATAGATCGAAAATTGCTTTAATTAAGATAAATGATTTGATTGTAATGTGTGAGGAAATTTGACTATGACGTTAAATCTTGAGAAATCACTTAAAAATTGTGCTTGATTCTCTACTTAGAAAGAAATAAATTGATTTACCTATATTTTTTTAATTTTAATTATATCAAAAATAAATATTTATGATGTTAAATTTGTTAATTGAATTAGTTGATAAAAGAGTTATGATATAAAAAAATTAAATTAGGAAAATGAATAATTTATTATAACTAGATTTTATTTATTTATTTAATTTACGGACATATCATATTATAAGTAATGTTATATTATTGATGCAGCGAGTTAGTGTAACAACAAGGCTAACACTTGACCATACATATAGAATCGATAAACAAGTCTCAATCAGAGAAACTTAGGTCATAAAGTTTAAAGTAAAATATGAATAATCATTGAATAATTTCAAAAAACGAATAATATCTTTATATAGGGTGGTGACAACCCTAACAAGACTCCCAATAAATAAGGAAATAGAATCCAAATTATTTTAAAAAAAAAAATCCTAAATAAAATAGAAAATACACACAGAAACTTAAACATGCATTTTGGGCCCAAAAATGTCTCCCAACCGGGGAATCGAGTTGCCATGTCGCAGGTCTTGAAACGAGCTTCCGTTGATATTTATGGTCCCCGTGTTCGAATCAAAAGTTATAGTTGTTTAAAGTTGATATGTCCGCTTTTGGGGCTTCTGATGCTTGACCCTATGTAGGAATTCATCTACTAGACGTTCTACATCAATTATACAATCAAGTTACAAAAATCTTGATTTCATTGAATAGCAACTACAAATATATAAAATTAACACCCGGAGAAACATGCTAATGGAAATAAATATTTATTTGTTCCTCAAATATAATGAGAATTGACTCGAAAAATAAAACATGCTTCTAGGGATCAAGCAACAATTATGAAATATCAAAAACTTCATTAATTAAAAAATTTTAGATACAATTAGAGTGCTTCTTACAAATGAATTTGCAATTTAAACTCTTCTTATTCAAAAAAGCAATGCCAATAACAATCATACATAGCATCAAAAAGGAAAAAAGAAATTATTCTTGTAACAACTGCATGAATTTGACGTCAGCTTAGTAGTGTCCTGGAGGTGGGGGTGATTTATAGATGTACTTTGGGTGCCATGGTAGAACTTTCTTGGTTGGTGGTGGAGGCGATTTGTACATGTAAGGAGGAGGTGGTGAAGGAGATGGTGGGGGTGGGGATTTGTAGATGTATGGAGGTGGTGGTGAAGGGGATGGTGGAGGTGGGGACTTGTAGACGTATGGAGGTGGTGGTGAAGGGGATGGTGGAGGTGGCAGAGAAGGAGACGGTGGGGGTGGAGATTTGTAATGGCGTGGTGGATGTTCAATTTTCTTTGGTGGAGGAGGAGAATTGTAAATGTATGGAGGTGGTGGTGAAGGGGATGGTGGAGGTGGGGACTTGTAGACGTATGGAGGTGGTGGTGAAGGGGATGGTGGGGGTGGAGATTTGTAATGGTATGGTGGATGTTCAATGTGTTTTGGCGGAGGGGACTTGTAGACATATGGTGTATGCTTTTGTGGTGGTGGTGGAGATTTGTAATAGTATTTTGGATGACTCTCACTCTTTGGCGGTGGAGGCGACTTGTAGAAGTATGATGGTTTCTCCACATGTTTCGGTGGTGGTGGAGAATTAGACTTGTAAGGTGTATATTTTGGTGGTGGGGGCGACTTATAGTAATAAGCCGGATGACTCACATGCTTCGGTGGAGATGGTGACTTGTAATTGTACGGTGGATGCTCCACTTTCTTAGGTGGCGGTGGAGACTTGTACACATAAGGCGTATACTTAGGTGTTGGAGGAGACTTGTACTTGTAAGGTTGGGGTTTGGAAACCTTCTTTTGGTAGTGTGGTGGTGGTGGTGAGCTATAAATGTAAGGAGCATATGCCACCACATTGTTTGCGATGAAGAGAATTGCACAAGCAAAAACCAAAAGGGGCCAATGTCCCCCCTGCCCAAGAGTTCCCATTTCCACAATTGAACTCTTATTGTTTTGTGACTTGAATGATCATAAACATGTATGCTCCTCCTTATATAGCAATCTCTCCAATCATCTTTTGAATATATATATTTTTTTTAATGAGCATAACAGCCTGGATCAAAACTTAGTTTATAATCTTTGTCTCCAAATTTTAAACTGTATTTTTAATTCTTTTTTAAATGAGATTAGTGTTCTCCCACTAAGTATTGATCTTTTTTTTATGTATAAAATGGCATAAACAAGTCAAAGATGGAGTTGTTTAGACACAAATAATATGAAGTCAAATTTGAAGCATGTTTATTTGGGAATAATATCTATAGATATAAGCTCAAATTCTGGCAAGTTGGTTTGTAATAATATTATTTTAGGTGCCAATAGTTGATAACAATTTTAGAGTAAAATCGTGCTATAAATGTTGGGGAAGTGCCGGTGATATAAATAATCAAATGGAGTAGAAATACTAATAATTCTTTTTTTCAACTATGACAATACTTAATTTTTGTCATGTATAATTATTAGGATTTGATCTTTTAGTTTAATAGTTTTAACAAAATTTATATCAGAACGTAGAATATATATATACATAAACATTTTTGTCCAGAATTGAAGCTTGTTTATTTGGACATAACATCTATAAACATAAGCTCAATATCTTACCAGTTGGTTACAAATAATATTATTTTAGGAGCCATATTTAATAATATTTTAGAGTAAAATCGTCTGTCTAAAGATTGGCGAAGAGTAGGGGCGGATCTAGAAATTTTTTTTAGGGTGGGCTAAAATAAAAACTAAAAACATATTAATATTTTTGTTAGAGTGAGCCAAAATCTAAAAATTATATATATTAGTATTTAAAAAAAAAATTGAGGGTGGGCCATGGGCTGAATCCGCCCCTGGCGAAGAGTCGGTGAAATAAATAATCAAATGGGTAGAATTATATACCTTATGATAATAATTTTTTTTTTTCGTGTATAATTGCCTGTATTTGATCTTTTAGTTTAATCTGAGCAAGTGTCATAAGATGGTTTTTACAATAAAATGTGATCCAGTTAAAAAAAAAAACAAAAAAAATCTGGTTTTGAGCGTGAGAGTTTAATTAAAACTGTTTTGGAATTTGAAAAAATATATCTATATTTAAGAAGAAAATTCCCAAAGAATATTCTCTTCCCTTACTGCCTTATACTCTCTAAATCTTTCCTGAATTTACATTTAAAAAAATTACCAAAAAAAAAAAAAAAAATTCATTTCATAAATTTATTTTCAAAAACTTATTTAAAATTAATATCATACACAACCTTATCAAGGCTTTACCTTTTTTTTTTCCCCCTTCTGGTTGTATAGAGATGAAGAAAAGTCTTCCATTAGGAGCAATAAAACTTAGTATTTGCTAGTTTTACTATTTATTCTCTACATGGGTAATAAAGTGAAAATAAAATATTTAAATTTCTGTGTAAGAGTAACTCTCTGTTAGGATGTAATGAAATATGACCATTGATTGTAGATGATGTGTCAGGGAGTTAGTTTTATTTTTGTTACAGTGCACATGCAAAGTACATGTAGTGCGCATGTATATATAAAACACTTTACGCATGTATTACTGTTTATCATCATCAATATTATAGATCTGTATTTCTCTCTCTTTTGCTTTGTTTTTCTACGTTTTCTCTTAGTGTTCTAAGTTGGTATCAGAGCCATTGACAAACGTCAAGAATGGCTGATATCTCTCAAAATCCTTCACCTTTTCACAAAACAGATAATAGTTCGAACTCCAAACACACCTTTGATTCAAGTAACCTTGTCAATTCTGCTACAATGTCATCTTCAACATTGCCTGTAATTTCATCGAAACTAACGAGAGACAACCACCGCTTCTGGAAATCAGAGATCCTGTTTGCAATAAGAGCTCACGATCTTGAGGAACATCTCACTGGTTTAATATTGTGTCCAGCTCCTTTCGTGAAAGCTTTATTAGACAGTACACAATCAGAGGTAATAAAAAAACCTAATCCAGAATACTTACTTTGGAAGAAAACTGATAAGATGTTAGTTAGCTAGCTGTTGTCATCAATTTCAGAATCTATGTTTGCCGTGATCTATAAGTGTCAATTTGCTACTGATATTTGGCTGACATTAGAAAAAGAATTCTTGACTGAATCTAGAGCTAAGACACTTCATGTTAAAAACCTCTTACAAACCACAAAGAAAGATGATATGAGTATACATGATTACTTCATAAAAATGAAGAACCTTGCAGAAAACTTGTCATCGAGTGGAGTTGTTATTACTGATGAAGAGCTATTAAACTATATTCTGGATGGATTGGGTTCAGAGTATGATGTTGCCGTGGTTAATATAACAACTAGACTGGAATCTAAGGTTGACCCAATATCTGTTCTGGAAGCTCAAATTGTTTTGCAAAAACTTGAACTTAGGTTGGAGAAATCACATGCTGTAATGAACACAATGATTCATAATGAGTTTCATAGTAGTTTAGCTAATGTTGCCAGTGTTTCAATGGAGAATGAGAACAAGAAAATGGAGCCTGATTAATGACCACATTTTTCTGGAAATCAGTATAACACAGTGACCTCAGCTATACCACAAATTACTAGATTTAATTCCTCCTACTTACCTATTGGTCAGAATTCACCTGTCTTTGGTACATCTCAGCCTCACTCTTACTTTAGTAATCAATTTTCTGGAGGATATGTTGGTGGCTGAGGTAGAGGACGTACAGGAGGTAGAAACAAATTTTTTTTTCAAGTTTGTGGAAAAGCTGGACATCTTGCCTTACACTGCTATCATCGGTTTGATGTAAATTTTACTGGACATAATTTTATGTCAGAGGTAACTTTAATCCACCTGATTTTATGAGATCATCTGCATCTTTAACAAAAGGATAGTACACTTCTGCTCCTTCTCCTCCTTCTCCTCATTTCACACAAGGCAGTTTCTCCTGACCATTACCATCGTATCAACCTGGATACCACACTCAATACTTGCCAAATGTTGGTCCACCTTCTACACCTATTGCAAATCAGCCAACAGCTCATAATGTCAGTCAATCCAATTAAGTGTTCATGGCACAATCTCAATCTTCTAATCAAACACCTACTGCTATCAATTATGTTGCCTCACCAACCTCTGTTCAAGATGTAGCCTGGTATATGGATTCAGGAGCTACAGATCATGTCACTTCAGATTTTTCACAGCTTACAATAAGCTCTCCCTACACTGGAAATGAACAACTCTAGGTTGGCAATGGTGAGTTGTTATCAATCTCTCATACTGGTTCTGGTACATTACTCTGCCCTGTTAAAACTTTGCACCTCAAACATATTTTATTTGTTCCTCATATCACAAAGAATTTACTTAGTGTGTCCAAGCTCACTAGAGATAATGATGTTCTTGTGGAATTCTTTACTGATCACTGTGTGGTTAAGGACAAATTATCTCATGTCATTCTTCTTCACGGAGTACTTAGAGCCAGACTTTATCGCATTCAAGTCCCAGTTCATTCATCGTGTTCTTCATCTAGTGCAGTTTTGGATCCTTCAATTTCCTTAAAGTCCATCAGCAGCAGTCGTGTTCCCCATGTCAGAGTCTCTAATAAGAATGTTGATATCCTGTCTACAACTCAAAAATTGTACTCCACTTTCAATAAGTGTACACCGATGTTTCTGTCAATAATCAGTCTTGTATTAGTCATGTTAATCCGTCTATATCTGCTTCAAATTCAGTTGTAACTGATACCTCTATTGGCAATAAATTGAATGCTTTTCCAACCGGCAAAACTGATTTTATGCTATGGCATAAACGTCTTGGTCATCCTAACATTTCAGTACTCACAAACATTCTTAAAACTCTGCAGTTACCTCATCCTGCAAAACCAGAAATCAAATTTTGTCAAGCCTGCCAGTATGGCAAACTACATCAGTCTACCTATCCCAAGTCTGGTTCTTACATATCTAAACCACTTGAACTTATTTATTCAGATCTTTGGGGACCCTCACCAATCACCTCCCCTGAAGGCTTCAGATATTACATACAATTTTTGGATGACCACACTAGATTTACTTGGATCTTTCCCTTAAAGAACAAATCTGACACTTACACCATTTTTACTCAGTTCCACAAATTAGTAGAAAAACAATTTAATGCCTCTGTCCAATGTGTCCAAACTGATTGGGGAGGGGAGTATAGGAGTTTGGTCTTTTATTTTAAGGATCATGGCATACTCTTTAGGCACCCTTGTCCTCATACCCATCAACAAAATGGGAGAGTAGAGAGGAAGCATTGTCAGATTATGGAACAAGGTTTAACTCTTCTTGCATAAGTTGGGATGCCACTGAAGTATTGGTGGTTTGCGTTTCAAACCTCAGTTTATCTGACAAATAGACTTCCGTCCCCTGTTCTAGATAATCTCTGTCCTTTCCAGAAACTCTTTCATACTATTCCAAATTATTTTACTCTCAAGATTTTCGGTTGTGCAGTCTATCCATTTCTTCGACCCTATAGTGCTCATAAGTTTAATTTCCATACTGTTAAGTGTACATTTGTTGGATATAGTCTTCAACATAAAGGTTATTTGTGTTTAGATCCTTCTGGTTGAGTTTATACATGCCAGAGTGTTCGTTTTGATGAGTCTGACTTCCCATTTCATACTTCCTCCAACTCTGCTTCAACATCTGCAAAGACTGCTACATTTGAATCCTTGCCATCTGAATCCTTGCCATCTGTTCCTGTATCTTCTTTTTGGTCTATTCCCACTTCGGTACCTTTAAACAATGTGTCTAGTAATTTTAGTCCTACCACATGTGATTAGTCAGAATTCCCAACAAGATCTCCGGTTTGTCCCACTACACAACTCTCCAACTTTCCAGTCTTATATCCAAGTAACCCACAACTGTCTCCTATGCCATCTTTTTCCAAACAAATTAGTACTTCCTCTACAGATCCATTTTTGCGATCAGATTCTATTCTGTCACCTATAACACTTTCTTCTAA